TATATATATATATATATATATATATATATATATATTATTTTCATTAAACACTTAGCTGTTGCGACCGTTTCGAAAAGTGTGTGCCTAAAATATGTCGCGAAACGTAAGGTGTAGTATAAGAAATTAGAGTTGTCCCTCGTCATAACATAGAAACTTGCCATTTTCTCATGACGAGTATACTCGTCGAAGGCTGCAAACTGGTTAATACAGGGTCTCGATTACAAATTCTTGAACTGTAAGCTACACGGAATTTGTAAAATCATTTTCTTTTCCGATAACAACTTTACGGATTGATGCTACGAAGTGATACTCCTAAGACGTCGTGTAAATCGGTGTCGGGAAAAGTTTGCGACTTCGTTTCGAAAATTGCTGAAGTATCGATCTCGAGGAGTGAAAGTCGAGAAACTTTTCCAGCAGCTACAGAGTTGGCTGACGGACTCGTTTGCTTTCGATGCGACGCTTACAAATGCGAGGTGATGCTTCGACCAAGATCGAATTAATAGTTTTTGCTGTCACCGCGTTCGGATCATCGTCGATCCATCTTTAATAGATTACGCGTACGTTCCTCGCCGAGAGATTTCCAAGAAGAACACTTTCGATCGCCCACCCGATACGGCGAGAGCAGAGCGAGTCCTCGCGCAGTTTCCGCTTTCGGGAAAGGTTTGCGGCTCTGTGTTTCTCAGGGTCGACCGACTCCCTCTTACGGATTCTGCGGATCCACAATGGACATTATCGAGCACGTCGACTCATGCGCGATTCCTCTTAACGCGAGCTCTCGTCGAGTTTCTAGGAAATTCGAAATATACGATTCTATTTTATAACGCGAAAAGCTGAGCTAATATTACAGGACACACTATAAAACAGTGATAGAACGTAAAGGTCAGCACTTGAATCGGCAGAAAATGCATAAATAAATGTCAGAACGAACGCGATCACCATTGAATTCTCTCGTTCTTTGAAATCTGTCGACTATCCGAGTAAAAGAACGAACGTTAGAGTTATTCGAAGCGAAAAGTCCGCCTCCGCAAAGGAGCGCAAAGCGTTAGACGACGCGACGAACATAAAAATGTGATCGAACTTTCCATCGGCGCTGCGTATAGCCACGTTCTCGTAACACGATGATTCACGTCTACCCCCGTTCCCCGTCCGTGAACAATTAATTTCATCGTTGAACAATGACCCACTGATTTCGATGAGCAGGGCCGCGCATGCGGGCGTTAAGAAAGTCCTCGAAAATCCGTGGAGGCAATCGATCCATCCTACCGGCTCTGTGTTCTCGCAACCCGATCGATCAAACACGAAGATGCGATGCAAGTCGAGCACAGGATGCTGGCTGCTCGACTCGATTCGGTTCGATGCGATTTTGTCCGGGATTCGTTCCCTTGTTAATTTTTTCCAGGTGTCCAGCGACGCGAATTCGACTGTTCCTCCCATCAGAGTGGTTGTGATGTGGTGACTTGGACTCGTATCACAGCCAGCTTTGATGAGCGGAACGGCGCGATTTATATCTTCGTTAACGCACGATCATGCGCCACACCCGGCCGGCGAGATGGAAAGAGGGGGCACGGGAGTGTAATTTCGAAAACGAGAAGAAAGAGCCGAGGAAAACGGGACAGCGATTCCCTGATAACGTGTATCGCGTGTGCGGCGCGTGTACGAAATGGTGCGCGACACGTGGGAGACACACGCGGCGCGACCACGTGCTATTCTCTCGCTTGTTCGTTCTCTTTTCTTCTGTTCCGTTCCTTTTTCTTATCTTGCTATCGCACGCGTATTCGATGTTTCGCATTGGCTTCAGCTGTGTATCGTTTGCTTGTGTCCGATCTGCAGCTGATGATCAAGATAGCGCGGCTGATCGGCAAAGAGGCGACGGAAGAGCTTTTTCTGGACAGATACATCACCCTCTGCAAAGACGAGGATGTTTTCATTAGAAAGATTACCATTCTGCGGTTCCCGGAGCTTTGCGTCGTCGTCAGCAGAAACGCGCTGTTCAGAGAACTGGTGAGTACGCGTAAAACGTTTACTGAGATGTCGTTTGGTGTCATCCGCGCCGCGTTGCACCGTCAACTCGTTCGAAACGATTAGCCCTGTTATTGCTGTAATTATCATTTGTAACTTGTTTGTCCGTCGATTTAATGGAAAAACTTGTAGCGTCGGTTACCGAACGAAAGGTAATTGGCCATTTTTCATTCGAGCAAATACACGAGAATCATAAAAGCATTGGTTCCAGTGTTAAATCGCGAATGCTAGATGTTAGTTTTGTCGGAGTCAAATCGTACCAGGCTCTGTCTAATTGAAACTATAATTAAATTCATTGTTCCGTAGTTGCCGATCTACATAGACCTGAGTTGCGAGAAAATATGGGGCATCCGAAAAGCGTGCGTGGACGTGATGATGCCATTCTCTTGCTGCGTGACTCGTCAGCACCGGCGATTCCTGCTGGCAGACCTCTTGGCCATGCATTTGAACGACGAATCGAAATGGGTGCGAGTGACCGCCTTTCAGATTTTGGGACCATTCATATCCACGTTCGCGGAACAGTTCACCGACATCACCTACAACGAACAGGGCGAGCTAGAGTTCACCAGACAACAGGATAGCGGTTTCAGGTACGAACAACCGTCTTTTTCTTTCTCTATCCTATTAGTTCCCCTTTTTCCATACATGTTCCATTGTTTCGATTTTCACTCTGCGAACGGTATCAATGATGAATCGATGTTTTCAGTATAAAGTACACGTACGAGGACATCTTCCCCATGACCTGCCGAATACAAAGCCACACTGTCGACGCGGAGGAAAATAGTTCTAAGGAAAACTTCAATTCGTCTGTGATAATAGAAAAACCAATTTACGAGGAGGAGGACGAGTCACAGGAAGATGACATTTCCACGATGAAAGCGTGCAAGTGGAAAGTACGATTCAATCGCGTTTTACGCGAATTCTTTCATTAGAACTCGAATTTGTTCAACATACTCGATTAATGATAATCATATTCGTTGAATGGTCCGATAAAAATCCGAGCAAACGATTCCTCTCACGAGCGAATCTTTACTTCGTTTTTGTAACACTGTTCATTTTCCTTTCGTTGCAGATACAGAAGTACTATAATATGAAAATGGACGACCCGGAAAAGTACAATTCCTTTTTATACTATTACATAGCGCCGGACTGCCCGCCCGATGACGAGCTGGTCGAAGCTGCGAAGAGATCCACGGTACAGAGTAACAACAATCGGAAATCGGCGAACAAAAATTCGAACAAAACGTCCACGTTAAACGACTTCTTCAACGAGGATAAATGCGAGGCGGGAGACTTCGACTCGATTAACTTCCACGAGCAAGAGATCGTCCCTCAGCATTTGATCGACTCGTTTTTATGGATGGCCGATCTGAAACAGTGTTTGGACACGGGCGCGGACATCCCACATCACTGTGCTTTCAGCTTTCCCGCAGTCGTCCTCACGTTGGGCAAGGAAAAGTGGCCTTACTTGAAGGAAGCTTATCAATGTTTAGCGATGGCGGAGCAGTGGAAGGTTAGGCGCACAGTCGCTTCCGGTATCCACGAAATCGCCGCCATCTTGGGCGAAGACCTCACGTCCGACGAACTCTTGCCCATCCATTACGGATTCATCAAAGATTTGGACGAGGTCAGAATAGGCATTCTGAAGAATCTCGCGACTTTTTTGCACCTCCTCCAATCTCAAGATCGTTATCAGTATCTGCCAATCCTCAAGGAATTCCTCACGACCGACAACGAATGGAACTGGAGATTTCGAGAAGAGTTGGCCACGCAGCTGCTCGAAGCAGTGACGTTGTTCAAACCGTACGACGTGGAGCGTCACATCGTGCCGTTGTCCTTTCAGCTTCTTAGCGACAAGGTCGCTGCCGTGAGGCATGTTGCGCTTTCCTTGGTACGATTCCATGTGTTTCGCTTTTTGTATCGTGTAAAATGTAGATTACTGTAAGGTTGACTTTGTTGGATTGAGCTATAGAAATTCAGAAATTTGAGTAGTCACGATGTCACCATTAAAAGAACCTTTCGTTTGTTCAAATGTTGACGTAACGAGAAAATTTGTACGCAGGTAACGAAGATCGTGGCATATCTGTCGTTGCACAAACGACCGGCACCAATGTTGTTCCAAGAACTAAGGTGTTCCCTGGGCGTGTATGCGCAGAAGTGGATCAGGCGTCAGACATTCGCGTTCCTATGCGGCCAGTTGATATCCAGCAATGCGATCACTGGCACCAAGTTCTCGCTGGAATTGCTACCGCTTCTGTTAAAGCTGTCATCGGATAAAGTACCGAACGTGAGATTGGCCGTAGCGAAAACTTTAAAGAACATTCCCGTGGGACGTAAGTATCCGTTGCTAATATCTTGAACCTAGGGTTAAGTTGATTTTAAAATGGAGAGTATGCGTTAAATCGCGTGATTTATTTTTCAGCGGATTGGTTAGACAGAAAGGAGGCAGAAAAAATCGAAGAAAGGCTCCGAGAAATGCGTTCAGATCCAGATAGAGACGTTCGAATATTAGTTGGCGGCGAGGAGAGTCCCACGCTTGATATACTGTCGGATAGTAAAACGGAACCATCTAGGAACATACTGTTTTAACAAATACAGACGAACCAAAAAGTACCATGTAAAAATGAGCTCAACTTTAAACGAACAGGAACGGAACAGAACAGAAGGAAAATGTACCATTTAGTGCATCTACATAGACAAAGGGAATAAAGTGCGATTTATTGTTGTCAACGACCAAGGGACCGACGTTTTCTGCGCCCTTTAGACTCTAAGTATCAACGGTCAAAAGACATTAACGCAGCTACGTAAGAGAGTGTGTGTGCGCGTGTTCTGAAAGGAGTTAACTGTATGCATGTTTAGTATTCGCGGGTATGTATGCGTTCACCATTGTGATCAATTTGTACATGTAAGTGGTCCCTTGGACGATATAACTAATTAAGCCGGATATAACTAATCGGAGATCCCGCCATCGACGAGTTCTCTTGTTCTTTGGTAAATGATCATAGGTACGTACTCCTCGGCGCCGTGATATACAGAGTATCCCAGAAAGTCGTGGTGCAATCGGCAGAGAAGTAACTCACAAGTTAAACGATAAGAAGAGGAACAAAAGAAACAACTCGTTTTATTTTTTTTACTTTTTTAACTTTGTGTCTCGCGTGTTTTCGTGCTGCGTCCCGTTCACTTACACCAACGTCGCCGTTAAACGGTTTGATCCTTTTACGCCTAGGAACGCCGCAGCGTATAAGAACCTATAGCCGAGTGTGAACTGAAATCTATAATACTGAAAAAAAGGTCAGAACGAAAGGAAACCTCCGTTACACGATGTATCGAATATCATTGGTAATCGTGTTATATTACTGTGATTTTGTTTACGCGCGATTACATGAACGAATGTGTACCGTTTCTCATGTAGATATGTAAACGTTTAAGTAATGCGGGCGTGGATGCTTGCCGACCTCCAAATGTCTAATGAATTGGAGTTCGTGAACATTTCGAAAATTCTCGGCGACTCGTCGAATGTTACTATACAAACGTGTGCGAATCACCGTTTTTACAATTAAAGAAAATGTTAGTTTATAAGCAACGATAAACAATACAACACCGCTGTTAAATAAACCAACATGTGTATAATAATGAGATTTCTACGAGTGTATAAATACATGCGAACTTTAGACAAGAGCAGACTGTAGACAAGAGGAAACAGAGTATCCGTTAAATTGAACAAAATTTGTACATTTTGTGAAATGACTGATAGCGTATGTTGATACTACAAGAATATTCGTGAGTAACGGGTTCAAACGTCTCCGTAATCGTTAATATTTTGTGACGATCGCTGACTAAGAGCAGATTGTCGTGTTGAGATTCGACTGTTTGTGAAAATAAGCTGCTGTGAACTTCTTACAAGCAATGAACATTCGTTACTTATGAATACGTGCGAAGAAAGCAAGAAAGAAGTTTTGTTTATAATATTCTGTATAATATATTGTGTATTTGGTAATGAAACGATACAAAAAAATACAGGCGATTTGATTTAACTTGACTGTATTTAATGCCTGCATCAGCCATCCCGAAGCTTTCTTCACTTCCAAGATGTCAAACAGAAACTCCAAGAATATACCACAACATGCTACAAGTGCGAGATCAAGTACCTTTATTTAGGGATATTTTGCGTTTTTCATTTTTATACATCAAAACGCGCGTTATAAATCTAAATATCGTTATATAAAATTACAACCTTGGGGTATACTTAAATAGTAATAAAGGAACGTACGTGTAGTCGCTATACTTCACGACATTTGAGTGTGGCCTAAATTATTATCAGAAAGCTTAGAATATACCGAGGAATTTTCCAGGTGGACAGGCTGGCAGTTGACAACTTTTTTCCTCCATCTCAGTCTCAGCGGTAGTACAATCATGTAAACAGTATCGCCACCTGATTTGGCGTCCTTTGCCACAGGTGACACTACAGCTACTCCAGTCTGTCCACTTACCCCATTTACGCGAGAATTTCTCAGACTGCCTACGAACGTTTTTCGATGCACCAGGTATAGTCTTCGCGACACGCTCTTTCGATGATCGCTTTTTCACCGCCAAATTTCCATTCGACCCCTTATCTCGTTTATGCTCCTTCGACTCACTCTTTCCCACTTTTTTATTAACCATAATCTTCGCCGTGGACGTCGGAATACATCTACGCACGACTTCAGACGTTCCTTTAAAATCAGCACAAGCAGACGTAACGTTCGAGCATAAGTCGTCGATTGCACGTGTTTCGATCTTCTCTCCCCTCTCGGCCATTTCAGCCTCATCGAAGCTCAAGTAATTTTCAAGTTCGTCTACCTTAATCAAAATTCAATGCTAAAGGAACAAATGTGAAGACTGATCGGTCAAATCATATCGCTATTACCTACTTTGGTCACCAGCCTCTTCGCTAGATCCTTCACTTCCTCGATAGACCGAGCAGCCCGATTATTCTCTGCCTTGTAATTCGTCGGATCGTCATCTTCGGCAGCGCAGTCCTTGTCCTTTTCAAATTCTTGGATATTTTGATAATATTGCAGTTCATCTTCTTTGTTGAAGAAACCGTGTTTCGAGGCCGCATTCCTATCCCTTTTCAAACGTATTTTGCTCTCGTCCCTCGTTGGGGGTGAGTTTCCGTTTTTCATTGTCAATGTATTCAAATCGTCGTTCGATTCTGGACTAGCTTCGAAACTTCTTCCATGAGAAATCAGCGAAAGTTGAAATCTACCGGTATCTTCATTATTTCCGGCAATAGTTTTCAAAGCAGTGTGTGTCGACAACACATCACGCGATTCACGATCTCTCTTGGACTCATTATCAACCGATTTCATCGGACTTACGGATCTATGGCGAAAATTGTTCTCGTTATTTGTCGCGGATGCTAGCTTTGACAATCTTGCGCGTGATTTATCGTCGTCTTTCGTTTCGCTGTTTTTTCTCTCGCGAACCGATCTCTGGTGATTCGTGCTCTTCGACCGAATGTTCTTCCGCGATCGCGTAGAACCTCCTTTCGAATCGTCGTGCTTTTTACTCGCGTGTTTCTTTTTCTTTTTTGATTTAGAGCTTCCCTCGCGACGGTCGTTTCTCGCCCTCCTTTTGAAACGCAACAAGTCCGCTTTTAAATCGGCAATGGCCAAACTTGACGGTTTTCTTTGATTCTCATCGTTCATGTACGATTCTCTTAATTTGTCGAATGTTTTCTCGTTATCGAATATTCCCTCCGTTTCAATTGCTCGAATACTTGCTTCTTTGGGACGATTGTTCGCGTAATATTCCCGCGAATTGATTTCTCGTTTCGCATCGAACGACGTGTCATCGTCGTAATTTTCATCTATAGACTCGTACCAATTTCTAGGAAATGAATCAGCCAAGTCTTTCAAATAATTTTGTTGATCACTGATAGGAAAATCCAAATTCGGATCTGTTCTTTTCACCCGAACATGTGGCTTTAACGAATCTAGATCTTCGATGATGTTCATGAAATCTGGGCCATTGTAATCTAATAGGGTCCTAGTTTTTTCTATATTATTCGATGACGTATCTATTGGGTGATGTTCGTTGTCAGAAGCAGTACACAAAGTCCTTCGCTTCCATAAATAATCGATGGGAACTTCTGGATCGTATGCTTCTGGAAATTTTGATGATGTGTCATAATGACTAAGTAAATTCCTCTCGTTGTTGTAAGTATCATCGATAGAATAATTTGTGAAAGGATTTTGAGTTATTGTATTCTTCAGATCCTTTTTGGGTATTGTTCTTGTGTTCTTAAAAATGTCAGCAGTACCTTTTGCTTTGAATGATGCAGAAATCGGTACTATGTGATAGTTAATAGAACGCAGTTGTTCGTCATTACGAATGCTACTGATAACGTTATCTTTTATGGTTATGGTAACAGAAGCAACTAACAAAAGGATTATGAGCACCCAAACACCTGAGCAAATCGAAACTTTCCGCATCACACGTGTTGTTTCACGTTGATTTACGTTACGTCATTCATAAGTAGTTTGTACATTACTTCATTGCAGGTTAATGTTCAGCAGGGATTAATTATTAAAATAATTCATTCGAGTAATTGTTACTTAGAGCTTTTACATCTCTTGCTCGTACGATTTCGTGAACATCGTTCCAGTATAATATATCGAACCAATTATCAGGCATATTCAGACATTTCCGTTTCATTGCAACAATTGCTTTTTGTTAGGGATATTAGACACTACATCATGTAAACAAATTTAATATTCAAGTCACAAAAATATGTTTTTTACTTATTTGTTTGTACTTTCTTACACTCTGTTGGTAACATTGTAAACGACATGGACGGTCTGCATCCCTTTATCATTCCAGCATCATTTACAACCTTACCAACAGAGTGCAAATAAATACAAATAAATAAATAAGAAACGTGTTCTTTTTTATGTTCTTGCCTCAATATTATATTTTTTAAACCATTGGGCACGAAGATCTATAAGATGTTTAATCCACCCTATCTCTCGTCAGTGATCCGATCTATTTTATCCTCCGTCGTTAGTGTCGGTATTCCTGATTGTTTCGGTAATTCAGTTTGTCGATAATAAAGATTGGGATAATAGTTTGATCTCTTTTCCAATTAATAAAAATGTAATAATAAATATTGAATTTTATTTTGTAAAAATCTATTTTTTGTAATTTGGAAACTTTGCATTTTTTATTCTTAATGATAGAGTAAAAAATTACTTTCCTAAAGACATGCCTTTCAATTTGATTGCAATTTAAATGGTTTAAACAATAAAGGTATATTTGAATAAATATAAGTTATACTTTGTTGTTTTATTGCTAAAGAATGTTATGTTGTCTAAACAATTGAACACTGCAACGATAGACAAAAGGTTAACCTTTTGCATTCCAGAGATGACTCTCAGTCACCACTTGATTTGATACAGCAAAACTATCACGTCGAATAATTAGCATTTTAAATTAAACGATGTATTGCTGTATGAAATATTTAAATAAAATAACTTTGTTGCTTAACTTATCTGTGAATTATCTTTATTATCGTTAATTATCTATATCTCGTCATAAAACGTTGAATATTTTCAATCAAAAAGTTTCGAGTGCAAGGGGTTAAATCATACTTTTTATTGGGCGAAGAATTGAAAGACAGAATGTAAGAGTCAAATTTGTCTTTATTCACTGTACAATTTCTTAATTGCAAAAAGTGCAATGCCATCGAGCAACGGCTACGTTCATAGCAGTAATTGACTTTATCGCGCGTAGTACGAATTCATCTAACGCGCAGAAGAAACGCTTCATACAATATTATGTACACGGTAATAAAATATATCCATTTTTTTACACTTTGGAGTATTATATATGTACACTTTATAGTACTACATTTACATTTACATTAACATTTAAATACAATCATGAATACTGTCACCATTATCGATAACTGCGAGAATTAAAGGTATACTGCAGCGAAACAATGTCCGAAAAATGTTTCCGTGAAATTTGATTGATGCATTACAATCATCGTCAGTGTTTATAACAAGCAAGGACAAACTATTATTCCAAAATCTTCTCGGAAAGGCAATTATCGATAAAGGCAACCTTCAACGAATCACACAAATCAGGGAACAGCTCTGCCTTTTCGTGAATCGCGATAACTGTGCTTTTGACAATCATAGAAAATCACGAAACGAATTACAAACAGTAAGCAACAGGATGAAATCTAGTCACGACACTTTCTCAGCACCGGTCTGCGGTAGCAACTTAATTAACATTAATTACAACATCGCCGCTGTGGAAACGCTTCAATCCTTCTTGTTTTTTTTTACAATTCTACAGCGTCTCGTATTTATACATACATCGTCGCACATGTTAGTGTCCGGGCCAAGGACAACGCTATGTTACATTTTACATATTGTGACATTTCGCTTATAACTACGGAACAGTAATTGTCAGGCAAGAAATATAACATCACATACAAGTACGTAGATCGGTGAATGAATCGGCCGAGTCGCAGGAGTGTTTTTCGATCGCGCAATCGAGTCTTGGAGGTTCATCGAAAGGTTCGAAGTTCTTGGACCGCAATGCGTATCGCGAGGTATCGCGATCGAAATTACATTGCTAAGGTAAGCGACCGTTTTCTGCGAAATTTCGTAACGATATATCTGATTTCAATTGATCGGCAACGCGGTTTTTCCACGCAACAGGAGTATACAACACTTACCACGCAATTTTTCACGTGTACATTGACACTAGTTTGACGCCAAATGAAACCTTAATGATAGTTCTTCGAAATAGATCAGCGGTGCTAAGTACTATGTAATTTAAGTAAAACATTTTAAGACTGCCAGGATAATGAAGGCTTTACGATAGCATAATGGGAACGAACATGCGAATTTTATCCCGATTCTCGTTCTCACGATAAATTAACACGTATCGTCGGCTAAACGGTAAGATATCAATTTCAGAACAGGTTTTAATCGAACCCTCAAGCACAGTCTTATTCCTCAAATTCTCAGTGCTGTTGGAACAACCCTAATCACTCCTCAATGTACTCGCCGGAGAAACGATTCGCAGTTTATCAATTGCACACGAACATCTATAAAATCACTTGTATGAACCAGTGTTCGCGTCCGCAGAATCAGTTCAATAGTCTCTATACTTGCGCGCTAAAAGACAAAAGTACTTTTCCACTAAGAATGTCTAAACTTCTAAAACTTTACGTTCACTGCCTCGTCTCATTGGACATACCATAGCGCATAGGTGTCAAACATTTAGCTCGTTGGACCTGTGAGTGAAAAGCATTAACCTTTGACTTCTTTATTCTTTCTCAATCTATAATCCCCAGAAATTAATCTTGACAGCCAATTAAAAAATGTCTGTTTCATATAAAAAGATCTGTAATTTTAATGTTCTCTGCCCTAGTGATTCGATTAAATCGCTAGCCTAAACACCAACTGCTAATAATGTATTAACCCTTTGAATATTCTTGGCGCCTTCGCTCAGAAAACTTGCATTTGTCATACTGCAGGCGGTTACAGGCGCTTGGATAGTTTCGCCGTTCTCGGCGTGCGTCGCGACCGAATTCCTACCGCACGGTGCGTCTCAAACTCTGCCGTAGTGAAAGGGTTAACACCGAAACGTTGGACACCTATGCCACAGCGGTTCGAGCCGAGCCCGGTTTATCCGAAACGCAGTCGAGCCGCGAGTCCGCGCTTGAGATTCATTATCACGGCAGCGGCGGTGCACCAGAAGCCGCGGAACAATCGAACCGGCTGGCGTAGCTTCATTCCACGGGCATTTTTCCGCTGTGGGAACGGGCGTCGGGTGGACGGCGGGTAAACGGCGGCGGCGTCAGCGATTTTACCGGTAATTCGAAAAATGCATAGGAATTAGCGGGAGCGGTATAAGAGGAGGCCGCTGGATAAGAGACGTTTCGGTGAAGATGGGGACAAAGGTATTCGCCACGGGCACGTAGATGCGTGAGCCTGTGCGTGCTGCGGGGAACGAAGGGAGGGAAAGGGGAGAGACCGCGAGAGAACGACCGGGTACAGAGGGAGAGGAGCGACGGCGAGGTGTGCGGGTCGCCAACACGTATCTCGATATCTCACGGTTCGATCTCCGCGCGGCCCAGCCGCCCGTATATTTACATGTATAATTTATATATCCCATAGCGGGGACGGGAAAGTGGTGTGCGCCCCGCTAGGGCGGGTCCTCTCGCGACTATCCCTCGGACCCCGAGCCGCTCGAGCGCCCTCCGTCGGCCGGCGCTCGTCTGCGAGCCGAGAAATTCGCGGGAATCCAACCGCACGAATTCTCACGATCCTCTTGTTAATGGCGATTTAAGTACCGCGGCTTGATGAACGAGAATGCGTTTTCGGAATGTCGGGGTTGTTCGCGCTGGTTAACCGGTCGTTTGTATATCCCGCCGCGTGATCCGACCGTGCCTCCTACCTTCCTAATTCAGTTACCGAAATATCCCCCGAACTGTATTATAATATCTCTTTTGGTACGATCGCGATACACTCGAGAGTGCGATCGCTTTCCAGAAACCTGAATTCGCAGTGTCAGTCTCGTCCATGGACGTCCGGGTCTCGACCTCGCGATTCCCGAATTCGTTCTCCTGGAACACGAGGGCCGGGCGTCTCGGCGACGAGGATTTCAGCTTGTTCCGACGCGGAGTATCTCCGGTGCACGCGTGCGAAGATTTACGGCCCACCTTGTACAGATCCCCCAGTAACTTATCGAATGAAATTAAATCGGACTAGGCTTCATTAGGATCGACAAGCTTGAAAACATAAATCCCGCTGCGAGCCTTGATTTACGAAGCTTCTAGCTTCGTCGTAAAAAGAGCTTCCACTGGAGAAGCGGATTTTTCACGGGCGCCGGCCTGCCAGCGAGAAGTGTCAACGTACGCTACCCGGCAGAACGCTCCGCGCTACCTTCCCATCAGTGGGGCTTGTTTTTGCGCATACATCGCCGGTTATAATTAACTACACACAAGCCTCCGCGCTTCGTCTCCTCGGGGTTTTCTCAGGGCCTCTCCTAGGATACCCCGAAGCTTCGACATAAATTTCTCTGCGCAGCTGCGAAACGGCCACGGCCGATACACCCCGGCCCGCAAATGCGGAAGACGCCCGTAGAGCCAAGAGAGACGGAGAGAGAAGCGCACCTTAATTAAGCTCGGCCGACCAACGAATTCCGTAATACGTTTCTCGTTCGCGTAACACGGGCCGCGATAAGAGGCCGCGCGGGCGCGCGGTCTCGCGCGTTCGTGGGATTTTTTTCAGTGAAATAATGCCGGGTCCTCGGCCCACCGCGCCAGACCGGGTCCACGTTCTCCCTCCTTCTCCCTGTATCTCTCTCTCTCTCTCTTTCCCTATTGCCATTGTGACCGCAGGGCCCGCAATTAATTATTTGCCGTGGCCGCGAGGGAGTGCATTGTTGCATCTGTTGTTGCACGCTCCACGATCCCGGCCGCGCGCAAAACCGGCGGAGCTGTGAATGATCCTGCGGAAACGGTTTTTGGCGAACGGGACGCCGCGCCGCCGATTCTTTGCGGCCCCACGATCGCAGCCGGTTATTTATGCGCTCGAGGTGGCCCGGCGTAATTTACGTCGGCTCACCGGGATACGCGGACAATTAAGAGAAAAATGCAAACCCCGGGTTCGCTG